TAACGCCTAGGTATTTCATCGTATGTACTCTTTGCAGCACTGAATTATTCAGTGTGAGTGTGTATGTGTGTTCCTCAAGGGTGTTGCGTGGTGAAGTAAACACAATGTACTTCGTTTTCTGTATATTTAATGTTAGTCCATTTGAAGAGAACCACTGGTGGATATCAACAAGCTCTGAGTTCGAAGATGCTATGGTTTGGTTAAAATAATCTTGAGCTTATATAAGAGCTGCATCATCAGCATACATAAATATGGAGAAGTTTTGTACCACGCTGGGCAAGTCGTTAATAAACAGCGAGAAAAATACTGGTCCAAGAACAGAACCTTGGTGTACTCCTATAGTTGTATTAAGAAACTCTGATTGAGTAATGGCTAATTGCACTGTTAGTTTACGGTTTTCCAGATAGCTTTTAAAGAACTCAAGACACATTCCGCAAAAGCCATAGCATTCTAGTTTATTTAATAATATGTTGTGATGGATAGTATCAAAGGCTTTTTTTTTATCTAGAAATATACCTACCACAGTTCTGCTGTTATCTAGGTGAAAATTGATAAGTTCGGAAAGTGACAAAACAGCTGTGTCGGTTGACCTGCCCTTTCTAAACCTATGTTGACAGGTTGTAAGAATACTTTCGTGTTCAAGAGAAGACTTAATTCATTTAACTATTAATTTTTCAAACACAATATTTATGATACTTAAAGCGGAAATAGGACGGTAGTTTTCTGGTATGTTTTTGTCACCTGCCTTGTAAATCGGGATAATCTTTGAGACAATTTAAGAAGTTCGGGCTAGGCTGACGAATAAAATGATAAATTAAAGTTTTTTTCTAGAGGTACACAAAGGATGTCAATGCATTCCTTTAGTGCTAAAGAAAGTATATTGTCGCATCCGACTGAGAATTTGACTGGCATACCACAAACTACAGCTACGATTTCACTAGCCGTTATATCAGTAAACTTAAATGTGTTAGGGTTACGAGGAGGGTATTTAGTGTATTCATCGCTGATCACCGCGGCCGCCAGTCGAGAACTGGTGCAAAAGTAGGTGTTAAACGTTAAAATTAGGGTACTTAATGATATTCCCAGAACCTCAATGTCTGGCATGGTGATGTAGCTTGCAGATGGTTTAAGAACCGAATTTATAATACGCCATGTTGTTCGTGAATCACTTGAATTTTTTTTTATCGAGGTCGTGTAATATTCTTTTTTTCTTTTTCGAATCATCGCTGTTACTTTATTACGGGCAACTCTAAATTGCTGTAAGTAATAATCATTGTTCCTGTGCATTTTTACCTTTGAATGCCAAAAATCTTTCTTTTTTGTTTGTTCTAAAATGGGCCGTTCATCCATGGGCAAATTGGTGTTCTATAATACTTTTTGTCCTTAGCAGTTGTTGATTGCATTAAGGCTTCTCTTAAGCATTTACTTAGCTTTGAATAGGAAGCATTCACGACTGGAGTACATACTTCGCCCGACAGCAAAGAATCTGATGAATAAATGCATTCAGTGCTTTGTAGGCATGCACGAAGGGCTGGAAAAGAAATACGACTATGGGTGTCGCGTGATTTAATGCGGGGAACCTGTGTGACTGGGAATAATATAGTCGTAGAGGAGTGATCACTTATAGTTGCGTCATAAGTAGCACACCAAGCTTCTCCAGTGTCAAAGTTGCACAAAATGTGGTCAATACAAGACGATATTTTGGTGTGACACATGTTGGTGAAAATATAATGTTATGAAACCCGTATAACGATAACATGGTATAATACTCTGAATGGCAGTCCTTTAGGCTATCTATGTTGAAGTCACGGCATATAACTGTGTTTTCGTTGGAGCAAATTTACGTGTTGTAGTATCCTTTCAAAATGTTGCACGAAGTCTGATAATTTTCCCCTAGGGGCGCGATACACCACTATGATTATTTCATCTTGACATCTAACAACAATAATTTCAAGCTCAGATGAGTATGATTTTGAGTAATTAGCAAGAACACTGCAAGGTATACCAGATTTTACAAATAAAGCAACACCACCACCTCTGTGGGGGGCGTGTCGCGCAGTGGAAAAGAAATTGTAACCATGTATGCTGCAAGTTTCACTCTGTTTTAGCCAAGTTTCGGAAACAGCTATGTAGTCAAAACCAAAAGTGTGCAATGAAAGTAAAGTACAGAAATGATCCATGTTTTTCTGCATGCTACGTATATTACAATAGATGAGGCTATGGCAAGAATTCACCTCTGCAAAAAGGCTTGCAGTTTCTATCTCAACGTCCATTTCAGACAAGCTTTTTTTTTTTATTCAAATTATTAGAGAAATATCGTTTTCACAGCGGATATGAATGACATTGGAGTTTTCAGCTTTTCTTGCCAGAACTTTTCCATTGGAAAACCAAACAAATTTCAAATTTTTTTCACGCTTCCTCGATACTGCTTTTCCCAATAGAACCTTATTCTCTGCACACAGATGTTCCTTAACATATACAGGTCCATCGCCTTCATAACCGAAATCTGCTAGGGTAATTCTCTTCTTTTTCACCACTTGAAGGATTCGGTTGCGAGTTGAGCATGACCGACATCTCACGACCACATTTGGTTTTGTTTTGTCTTTTGTGGGCACTCGATGAACCACGTCAAGTTCCTCCGAAGTTATTGGTACTGCAAATCTTTCAGCAAATGTTATTACGCTACTAGCCAGGTCTTCATCTTTTTTCATTGGGAGCCCTTTAATTTCAAGATACTGCTGTCTGCTGTACTGCTTCAGATCTCTTATTTCACAGCGTGCTGCATCAAGGCCCTCACGCAGTTCAGCGTTATCTTTCTTTAAGGCTGCATTATCTCTTTTCAGCGTCTCAAGCATTTCCTTTAGATCCTCAAAATAGCTATCCATGAACTGAACTGTTTGTTTGAGTTCTTGCATTTCAGATTTCAAATCATTGTTGTGCGTGTCTACCTTAGCCGAAAGTGAGCAATGAGTTTAGCTACCTCTTTTATGGTCGTCAGCACCTTGTCACCCATGTTTCATCTGTTCACAAGTACACTAAGGGTTAGTATAACTGTAGTACAGAGCGGTCCAGGAGCTACATAAAAGCTAGAAGACCTAATGATTAATAAATGTGTTCTGCACGCATACCTGCGTAGTAAAAAATAGGTGATTATTCCAGCCCCGTGTTTCAGCTGCCTGGATCGCTCTGCATTGACCGTGAGCCGAAGCTGCTGTCTTTTATATCTTGAAGACCATGACGTCAGTTGCTCGAGCACATGCGCAGTATCAGCGTTTCCAGGGTAGACCAAGGGGCGGTGATGGCATAGCAGCTATTCCAGCGACGAAACGGCCACGCGCCTTTGACGTTCGCAGCCGAGCGAAGCAGGATTTTCACTGCATAGTAAAAAATAGGTGATTATTCCAGCCCCGTGTTTCAGCTGCCTGGACCGCTCTGCAGTCAGTGACCGTGATCCGAAGCTGCTGTCTTTTATAACTTGAAGACCATGACGTCAGTTGCTCCAGCACATGTGCAGTATCAGTGATTCCAGGGTAGACCAAGGGTCGGTGATGGCCCAGCAGCTATTTCAGTGACGAAAGGGCCACAGGCCTTCAACGTTCGCGGCTTCGACGTTTGCGGCCTAGCGAAGCAGGATTTCCACTGCGTAGTAAAAAATAGGTGATTATTCCAGCCCCGTGTTTCAGCTGCCTGGACCACTCTGCAGTGAGTCAGGAACTGCTTACCACTGCCAATGGAAATGAAAGTATTCTAAGAACATAACAAGCGTTTATGGCTATAATGCTGAAATAAAGGTGCAATTGTTGAAGCAGGTGGGCAAAAGTTCTGCTAGTCATAAAAAAAAATACCCACGAGGGTCATTCAAATGTGAAGACAATGCTGATAGTGTCTTGATTGTGAAGACATCGCCCACTATGAATTTGTACCACATGATCAGATGATAAACACAGAAGTCTATCAGAGAATGCTAGCACATTGGAGAGATTCAGCACACAGTACTTGAGAAGCCTGAATTATGAGAAAACTAGATTTGGATGTTGCATAATGACAAAGCTCCTGCTCACATGTCACTACATCGGTGTGTTCCAATACTCACCGTAGATGGCTAAATAGACAGCTAAATGGACGCCGGTCATCTTAAGTCCTATTCCAATTTTTAGGTAGCCGGTAAAATAGACAGCTTCGCGAAAACAGCATCAGAGAGAAATATGATGCAGGCTACTTTGCTGCCCAAACAGGATGGCGGCTCAGTGAATTGTTCGGATAAATTAGATCTCGCCGGAATAGTCATTTGCATACAAGCACACAATTCTATAGACACTCAATATGAGTAACGTTCAATTTTTCTTAGATTTTATGCAAAATAAGCTCAAGAATAACAAGTACGTCTCGACGTGCAGAAGCCATCCAGATGTTTTATTTCTTGGACAACATGGTTGCGATGCAGTGTTCTAAGCTGTCAGCATAGACTGTCTACGATGTGGTCTAAGAATTAGAACACAGCACATGTCAGCAGCCATTTAGCAAACAAGCACACATCTGTTGTGCCCCATCCACCACCGTCTACAGATTGAGCCACAACAGACATTTTAATGCTTTCTTAAACTTAAAAACCGCACTTGAAGGAAGTTATTTCCAAACCATGGAAGAGAAAAACGCAAAAGACCTGAGCGTTATCTCAGGGGGCTTTCCCTAAACACAAGAAAGAGTGAGCTCAAAGCACAGCCAGTAATAATTGTTGGGGTCTATTGTCACCATATGGTTATGAGAGGCCACCTGGAATTTTTTAATATGAACATAGATCTAAGCACTAAAGCCTCAAGCTGCCGCTGTTCGATCATGCGACCTGCGGGTCAGCAGTTGAGACCACTGTGGCAGGTCGAGCACTGTCAGTAGAGGGGCTACTTTTAAGGGGGAGAGCGTAGAAGCAGCAAAGATGTAATGTCTAAAGTTTGGTTTATTTTTTAATACATTTGGCCACAAGACATGACAGACATACACACCTCTTTTGGATCCCTTCGCAGCATATCAGAGACCAGTGCTTTCACCACCGGAGGCATGGCACCAGGCGGTTGGGGCAAGTCTGACTCGGCATAGGTGCGGCTGTCAAGGTTGTAGAATGGATTTGGTGCTCCATACAACTCATACGCTAGGGTGCCTGCTGCCCATAAGTCGGCGCGTCGGTAATCGATAATCGAAAGCAAGCCTGGTTCAGCTCCTGCAACCTGCTCGAAGCAACAAGACAGTAATGTAGCATTCATGCTATGTGAGCACTCAGTATTTAAAACTTTTTTGCTATAATTTAAGGCCATCACCTACAGTACATGCATGTATCATGCAGTCATTACATTAAATAGATCAGCAGCTGATCTCTGCATAATGAAAAAGGCTTACACACAAAACCTGCCAATGCATGAGCAAGTTGAAATACATTCTCTATTAAAGGGGTGCCAACACAAAAACTTTGGCCTCGCATTTTTCTGCTCTAATGTATTGCTGGAGACCTGTTAGTCCGAACATGACACATCGTTTGCTGCAGCATGCAACAGATAATCATTTATAGCCCCCTCATTATTGACCAGTTTCAGTTTAAGACAACTCCAAAAGCAAGAAGCAGCAGAGTACAGATATCGCCACCTAGCGTGAGCAGCTCTCGATCATGTAAGAAGGCAGAACTGTGACACATTTCTGCATGGTTCGCATCAAAAATTACTTTAAAAGAAGAAACACGATAGCACTATCGCCAAACAGAATACTTTCATAGCATGCGGCACGGCCACACACTCTTGACCAGCTGCTGAGAAGTATAGATTGTGAGAACAAACGTGGCAAAAAAAAAATGGCGGCTGTGACATCATCATAACTTGTTTTATTGACTCCAGCATGGTGATGTGAGGGAAGTAGGGGGTTCCCAAAGGGTTCCCTTCAATGGTGTCAATGGCATGATGGAGACAAGCACCCACTCAAACTTCAACAAAATTACTCTAAAATGCCTTCATAGCTATATTCACTGTGAATATTTTGCAGAATATTTACGAAGGTTCACAGGAATCGACCCCGCAAGCTATCTCGGCCACAAATTTTGTGCCAGTACCCCTTTAAGCATTATCAAAAAGAACAAAAATCTGAGCAAAAATCTGAAACTGAGGCGGACTTAATGGCATCTGTTGTAGAAAATGTGTTTCACAAAATACTCAAAGTCCAGGCAACAATAATAGAGAAAATTGATCGAATAGGCAGAAAACAATCGGGAAAAATTAGGCCGGTCATAATGAAATTTCATAATTTCAAAGAGAAGGAACATGTAATGACGAACTGTGGCAAACTGAAAGGCAGTTCGATTAGTGTGATAACGATTATGCCCAAGAAACCGTGCATGTACAGAAGAAACTATGGGATAGTGCGGCAGCAGATAGAGCTAAGGGAAAAAAAACAACGCTGGTTCACGATAAACTTGAAGTAGATGGCAGGTTTTATTTATTTATTTATTTATTTATTCAAAATACCTTACAGCACCCAGAAGGGCATTGTGTAAGGGGAGCATAAAAGGAATACCTACATGAATTGGTACAATTTCTGTACAAACAATAACATGAACTAATTGTCAATTATTATAGAAGTCCTAACAGGAATAACAATGAGAAAATACTAATAATAGCAATAAATATAATAAATATTAATAATGGCTGGGACCATAAAATACAAAAACGTTTCCCTTTGCAGAACAAATAAGGAAAGGGTGATCAAGATCGTAATGATAATCTGACGAGTATCATTAGTTTCAGTTTTTATTGAGCATTTTCTTCACAGAGTTGCGAAAAAGAAAGCGCAAGGATAAGAGCAAAAAGCTGCTATATTAGCAGCTTGACGAGGCTCCTACTCCTTTTCACTTGGCAATACAAAATCCGCAGAGCACAAACATGAAAAAACAATTTGACGTCGATTTTCAAAACTTCAAGAAATTAGAAAAGAAAAAGAAAATGCATCAAAATTACATCAGTTTCAGGTTTACAGAAAATAAGCAAACCACAAAGAGAGAAAAACAACAAATAAAAAAAGAAAACTCATGAAACAATGCACACGTTGCTAAACGGCAGTGTGCAGTGGAACTTGGAGTTAGGGTAGTTAGACAGGACACTAAGAAGCTTTCCCAGGAAATGAAGAATCTCATAAAGAAGTGTCAAATCATGAAAGTCTCAAGTACAACAGACAAAATAGAACTGGCAGAGCTTTCAAAGTTGATTAATAGGCATAAGGTATGGGATGTAAGAAGGTATAACATAGAGAGAATTGAACACGCTTTGAAAAACGGACGAAGCGTCAAAGTAGTGAAGAGGAAACTTGGGATAGGCAGAAATCGGATGTATGCACTAAGGGACAAAGAAGGCAAAATAACTACCAATATGGATAGGATAGTTAAATTAGCGGAGGAGTTTTAGAGAGATCTGTACAGTAGCCGGAACAACCACAACTTTAATACTAAAAGAACTACTAGTAACCCAGATGACACCCCACCAGTAATGACAGAAGAAGTCAGAAAAGCTTTGGAGAGCATGCAAAGAGGCAAAGCTGCTGGTGAGGATCAGGTAACATCAGATCTGCTGAAAGATGGAGGACAGATTGTGTCAGAAAAAATAGCCACCCTGTTTACGAGGTGTCTCCTGACGGGAAGAGTGCCAGAGTCTTGGAAGAACGCTAACATCATCTTAATACATAAGCAAGGAGATGACAAGGACTTGAAGAATTACAGGCCGATCAGCTTGCTCTCAGTAGTATAGAAGCTATTTACAAAGGTGATTGCTAACAGAGTAAAGAAAACATTAGAATTCAATCAACCAAAGGAACAAGCAGGATTTCGAACAGGCTACTCAACAATTTACCACATTCATACTATCAATCAGGTAATAGAGAAATGCTCAGAATATAACCAACCACTATACATAGCCTTCATAGACTACGAGAAGGCGTTTGATTCAGTAGAACTATCAGCCGTCATGCAGACACTGCGGAATCAGGGCGTCGATGAAGTATATATAAACATCCTGGAAGAAATCTACAGGGGATCAACTGCTACCATAGTGCTTCATAAAGAAAGCAACAGAATACCAATCAAGAGGGGTGTAAGGGGTGTAAGGCAGGGGGGACACAATCTCCCCTATGCTATTTACCGCATGCTTACAGGAGGTTTTCAGAAGCCTAGAATGGGAACAGTTAGGGATAAGAGTTAATGGAGAGTACCTTAGTAACTGGCGCTTTGCCAATGACATTGCATTACTGAGTAACTCAGGGGACGAACTGCAACTCATGATTACGGAGTTATACAAGGAGAGCAGAAAGGTGGGTCTTATAATTAATCTGCAGAAAACGAAAGTAATGTACAACAACCTTGGAAAAGAGCAGCGCTTCGAGATAGGTAATAGTGCACTTCAAGTTGTAAAAGACTATGTCTACTTAGGGCAGGTAATAACCGCGGAGCCGAACCACGAGATTGAAGTAACTAGAAGAATAAGAATGGGGTGGAGCACATTTGGCAAGCACTCTCAAATTATGACAGGTATATTGCCACTATTCCTCAAGAGAAAGGTATATAACAGCTGTATCTTGCCGGTACTTAGCTACGGAGCAGAAACCTGGAGACTTACAAAGAGGGTTCAACTTAAATTGAGGACGACGCAGCGAGCAATGGAAAGAAAAATGGTAGGTGTAACCTTAAGAGACAAGAAGAGAGCAGAGTGGATTAGGGAACAAACGGAGGTTAAGGATATCATAGCTGAAATCAAGAAGAAGAAATGGACATAGGCCGGGCATGTAGCGCGTAGACAGGATAACCGCTGGTCATTAAGGGTAACTAACTGGATTCCCAGAGAAGGCAAGTGGGTTAAGGGGAGACAGAAGGTTAGGTGGGCAGATGAGATTTAAGAAGTTTGCGGGTATAAATTGGCAGCAGCAAGCACAGGACCGGGTTAAATTGCAGAACATGGGAGAGGCTTTTGTCCTGAAGTGGACAAGTCAGGCTGATGATGATGATGATCGAGATAACCCATTAGAGGCATTAAATGAATCTAACGCCCCCACAGTCCTCCAGGTGTAACCCCATCATCATCATACTGTTAAATGCTCGTAGCATCGCAAACAAAGTGACTGATCTAGAGTGTCTCACATTATCACGCTCTGCTCACGTGGTAATCATAACAGAAACGTGGCTCAGTAGCGCCGTATCAAACGACTGCATTGTTTCGGTGGGATACACTATGTTCAGATGGTATCGAGATTCCCGAGGGGGCGGCGTTGCAATTGTCGTGAAATCAATTCGTGCAGCACTAATTGATTACACCTTACGGGAGTCTGTATCATGTAAGATAACTTACAAAAACCTGGTATATCTAACTGCAGCCATTTAGAGACCCCCCGCTACATCGCCTGAATTTTTAGATGACCTAAATGCTTTTCTCTGTAACAATATAAACAATAGCACACGGTTCATAATGTCTGGTGATTTTAACCTTCCTCATATTAACTGGGAGACCTTGACGCCAGGTGATATCGAAACTGCAAGCGGAGACAAGTTATTAAAGATATTGTTTTTGCACAACCTTATGCAAGTGGTGAAGGAAGCCACTAGAATAACTACTGAAACCAAGTCAATGCTCGACCTTGTGTTCTTATCAAGCCAGTTGGAAGACTACATGGTGTCAGTGGAAGAGGGCATATGTGACCAAGGGCTAGTTGTTACCAATATTACCACAGAAAAAAGTGCTCGCTCAAAGTCTGTATTCCATGTAAAAATTAAAAATTTTGCGGAAGCGAATGACACGTCTATTTTAGATTTATAAGAAGTTGCCTTCGACGAATTTCAGTCTGCCTCAAATTATGAATCCGTTGAGACATTATAAATCGATTTAAGACAATCGTGGACACCTGTGTACATAGATTTATCCCATCTCGTCTTAAAAAGGTCAAACAACGCAGCCCATGGATAACCAGGAATGTATTCACATGAAAAGGAAAATTAAAAGGCTACGGAAAGAAGGCAGGAACACTACCAAACTATCTCAAGCTCGTAAATCCCTAAAAGAAGCCTTGTCCAAATCAAAGAGTAAGTTTTTCCAACATATCTTCGCTGAATTCATTATGAGTGCGCCTCAAAAGTTCTGGCTTTATATGAGCGGCAGAAAAGAAAAAATTGAACATATCACTGTCGGATCGAGAACAGTGACGCAAAAGG